ATAAACCCCGAGCCACCTTCGTTATTTCAAATAAATTTGATTTCCTTTTATTACGCGACCATATTTAACAATACACTCTTCTGCGTATCCATTGTACTGGTTTTCACACAGACGAGATTACTTGATTTTCCCCTTTTCCCACTTTCAAACATAATCCTACTTACGAACTACCAACACAGTGCATTCAACGCATTGGCAGTGCCAAATTCCTCAAGAACAAAAACAAATAGTATTCAAACACTGGCACCATTTAGTCACACATTGAAATTTAGTTAAACATTAAAAATTGAGTTAAACAATCCCGTGTGTTCCTCTGTTCTAATAAAGGCTGGGTCCAACCAGAATTTTGCATTTGACGTTAACGTTTTCTTATTCATACACCCCAAGACCCATCCAGACCTACTGATCATGGTTACTTGGATAGGTGGCTCTGCATTGGTTCTTTTTAATCGATTACATCCCATACAACCGCATCAGGGACGGATGGGTAAATGTGTTAATTGCGCGCTTTTACCTTCAGTGCGGCGGGGGTGAAGGCGTCCCTGAAAGCAATTTTGTTGCCCTTAAATTTTCTTTTGTTGCAACAAACTGTGCATAGTCATGTGCTACCACAACCATATCGATGACTTTGAACCAGCACATATAAAACACAATTAATGTCAACAGAAATAGCATGCAGTGGTTTCTGATTACTTCAGTTGCTGTGTTTAGGGTTCGATAGACTTACTAAAATTCAAATCTTTGCATATATTCATAGAAACCTCCTTTTGTATTTAAAGTGCAATTGATCCCATGGGTCTTTAAACATAACCTTCTCAACTTTGCTGTCTTAGCAATCATTGTTCAGTAGCGCAATTTAAGCAAGAAAAACGTAAAGTAAATCAAGCAAGGTGTTTTTCCTTGTATATATCGCGTTGTTGTTCGCAGTAAATAACACTTACCTAGTATCTTCACATGATCCCAATTACTCAGATCGCTTAATAATTCGTGGCAGTTTTCTGCCTGCAAAGAATAGTTATTTTGGCACGTAAAATTAGTTAGCTTGATGGTTCCCTTGTGCTCTGACAGCTTCTAAATGTACCCCTATAAAAAACACATTTATAATAAGACCCCTTAACAACCCTGGCTTTGAACTTAGAATCACTGAAATGTATTTACTCTAATAGAAACAGGGTTCTTTGGTATTCTATCAATTTTATTTAAAAAAACTGCATGCTTTGTCTTCGCACAGTTGTTTTGACGAAGGTGGCCGTTACGTTGATAATAATAAGCGTTAATTTACCGACCACATCAAAGGAAGAGGTGAACTTTTAACACCGCAGAAATTTACCTCTTATTGTTAACTACTGACAACAAAGGTCACCAAAGAGACAGGTTAGCATATAATGGAGATGACAAGTTAACAAAGTGTTATTTAAGACCATCTGGATTGGGCGTAGACGCGTTTGGGTAGACATTGAAGAGGTCCATGTGATTGGTTTGGTCACTAGTATCCCTGAAATTGTCTCACTACAAAAGCCATTATATTACCAATGAAACTTAATGAGCCTGTTAAGTGACCCAAGAAGGACAGAATTACTAAACCATGGCTTCCAAGTAAACCTTTAGTTCAAACCATGCAGATCGTCCTTGTTCAAGTTATTAGCTTTTCTTTCTGTGACGACTGTCCCTTGATTTAATTAATAATTTTACACAGTACCAAGTTGGACAATTTGTTAAATCACTTGTCTGTCCTTGAAAGCCTCACAACTTTTCCTTTTATTTCTGTTTTGGTAAAATATAGCGTTTAAACAACGACTTTTTGTTGCGTATTTACTTCCTGTTAGGTACGTCCACAAGACTCTTGGTCAAATAATGCCACCTAATTACCAAACATAGAAAAAAATAGTTTAGGCTTGCGATTCACTTGAGCATGACCCGAAAATTACAAAATGGAACCAGATGCAAAAATGAAGTATACCAAAGTAAAATCTGCATGAAGGAAAACTCAACAAAAACCAGTTAAAATTGCTTATTAGTTCACAGTAAGTTGAAGTTCTTTGGTGTAAATCGACGAATTGTGCGTTTCTATTGTTCCCGAGACGATTCACGGGGCCGAATAACATCTATAAATGTATAAAAAAACAGAAGGTGAGTTACGACGGAACAAAGTGCGCACGAAAGCCCACAGAGAGTGGAGACTGAAAGTAGAATAGAAATAAGCAACATTGTTGATGAGTGTTTTGATTTCAAAATACCCTAAATCGGTTTTGATACTACCATGAAATGGGCAATATTTTCAGCAAAAAAATAATAAGATTGCCATAACATATTTTCTGTTTTGCAAATTAATGACATTGACGTTCTTTGAACGGCATCTCTTATTAATGCAATATTGGAGTTGGTTTAAAAAATCGTATTTCTGTGATTTTTCAATCAAAAGTTACTATTCGAGATGACCTTCTAAGTGTGTTGATCTCCAAATACAGACTATTACTGAATGTGACTGCGGCATGTAGCTATACAAGGGATTTCGCAGAATGATGCATTGAAAAACAAACCACAGTGGTAAACGACCGTGCCAACTGCATGCACAATGAATGCTTCGAACTGCCCATCCTATTCCATTCCTTTCATCTGGTCCAATTTCTGAACCTCAGTATCAAAATCGTAAAAAGATTTTTACATCAGCATTTGCCACGTAACGTTTTCTTTAAAAAAAACTTGATTTGTAAAAATTAGGTCTCGTATAATCAGTTGTCATCTTTATTTTCTTAAGACACTGCTTATGGGAAATGACGTTAAGGAGACATGCCTTCAGTTCCGTTATCCGTTAATCTCCTCTCTTTAAAAAAAAACACGACTCTTTCTCTCCTCTGTTACGGCTAATTATGACTTAGTTGAGTTTTTAGTGAGTCCAAAAAGGTGCCTCTTGCTTGTGTCGACCAGAAACGTTTACACCTTGTTTAAATAAAGCTTTCCAGAAAAAGCCTCAGGTCAAATGAATCAAATAAGGTTAAGAAATTTCGGCCGCATAAAGCCTGTCATTTTAAATTGTACATTCCCAAAAAAACTGAACTCGACACTCATGCTTATAAAATATTTCATTAAAATCATATCTGCTTTAGGTCCAGAAAAGTGCAACTTTCTGCTCTTTCAAAAAAGTAAGTAAATAGTTTGAAGAATCCCACATAAGTGTGTATATTGGACCCAGTTTTCTTTCTCTTAGTTGTGCTTGCTGATTTTTCGGGTTCGCCCCCACAGTACCATCCCTCAACAGACTCTACGATGAATAAGTCCTGTAACTGTCACCATAAACCGTGTAATTTACGACAATGAACAACCATTTGGATTAGCTTTTCGAGTCTCAAGGTGTTACAGTTCATATTGGGTTAAATTTGCCGTCCTAGTTGGAACCAGAAGAATGCAACGTATTCCCATTAAAAATAGTATTTAATAGTCAGTCCTTTACCAGTCACCTATTTTTGTAAATATGTCAAACTATTTACTATTCCAGCTTTGCAGAACCTACGCGGTTTATCTCCAAAATGTCGATAGTTTTGATTCCTTTCATAGAATATAATTATTTTATAAATAATGTAGCAAATGAACATAAGTTGGAACGGGACTTGGAGAATACATCGGGTGCCAAGGGGTTCCCCATTTCAACTCCATTATCTTTTTCAGTGTCTGTCGTTCAACGTGTCGCTTAACACCGTCATAATGAAGGGTGATGCCTTGTCAAGCGGCCGAACTTGGCCGTCTTGCCCGAATTTAAACAGTGCGTTGAGGAAATCGCTCACAGTACCTCTTGAAGCTACTGCTAGAAATATGCACTTTCATACTGATTTTGCTTTTTCACTCCCATGCCTCCAGCTACTTTTCCTCTTACTTTTGTTACAATTATTACTATCTTAGATAGGTTCATTTCATTCACAGGTGAGGCGAGAAATGGCAGTAGAGACACGAATAAGATTATTTGTTTTGCCGAAATTTGTGGGTTTCAGAACCATTCCAGGTTACTTTAAATGGCAAAATACCACCTATTAGGCCATATTTAGTCGCCCAACAATCTCTTCAGTCGTCGTTCCTAAGCCGTTATTCACTGATTCACGAACCCGAACACTGTCAATGCTGAACGATCGTCCAATATCACATTTATTGCTTAGATTGAAATTAACACTTTGAAATAGCGAAAAAAAGTATTATTAACTGTCTTAGAAGCAATAAAAGGGTCGGGGCAACGTCTTATTTATTTTTTGTTGTATTTTCAACATTTCTTTTTTGGGCTATTTATTATTTCTTATTTCGACTTCATTAACTCTGCCCAAAAGTTATTTAAGTAAACTCTTTCCAAAGTTTTTACTGACTCAAGACAATTTTAGTTGACTGTTAGTTAATTATACTCGTCAAAGAAACATCAGCGCAGTTAAAAGTACATGATTCTGCCATCCATGCAAATCAGGTGTTAGCTTTTGCAGTCGCTGAATATATCTGCGGCAAGGCAGTGGATTGTCCATGGGAGAGTTAAAGGGCTCCACACAGTTGCTTTAGCACGCGGCGGTAAACGGAAGCTTCGGTGATTTAATGACCTGCATCGTCTACTAGAACAGTTGTTACCATCGTCAAACTCCTGTGGTTCTACCAAATGCTCACACTCCACACAGGAGCCTTGAGGTTATCTAATAAAATTGGAAGTTAATACCATGCAGGATAGCAAGGTTGAAAATGTGTTGTTAAAACTAATAGATACGTTATTTAGTGGCCATGTTCAGCCAGTCTCCCTTGTGTATTGTTAATTTTTGTTGAGAAAAAATAATAAATAATTTACATAACTTGAGATTTAAATAGTCAGGTATAAGTTTCATTCAATTAGTTTAGAAAATATAATAAATTGTGAGAAGGAAAGCCATTTATTGAAATAATGCGAAAAAACAAGGTTAGCAACTGATGAATGATAAATAGTGAATATTTATAACATGAGCTATTATTGAGCGGGTTTCATTTGTAAGTACTTTTACTTACATTGGTGCAGCACTTGAATAAAAATTTGAGGCCTGTTCCCCCCAAATTTTTATGTAAGAAGGCAGGTTAACTTTCGCGGGGATCGCAGGTCCGGACTGCAATGGATTAGGGGCACTCGATTGTGGGTGTTTCTCACCACCATCATCATCATCGTAAAATCGAACACTCTTCCCTGGAACTCCCGAAAGACGTGCGTCTTCATCCATTGCGACCTTCATATCAAGGGAAAGGTTTGAATCAGTTACGTCCACGCCTACGTTCTGGTTGTCTTGACAAGGATGCATCTTTGTCATTTTCACCGTCTTTACAACCTTTGGATTCTGAGACCGAACACGACAGAAGCAACAGATCAGAAAGATTACAACAGCGATTACTCCGAAAACAATGCTTGCTCCTATAAGTAGACCTCTTGCAGTCGACGGAGGAACCTTCAATTTTCTCACATCCACAAACTCCACTTTTTCCATATTAAGGGAATAGGCAGTATTTTGCCCAGTATGGAGGATTAAGTGTCTTTTTGTCTGGCCATACGTGGACGCACTTTGCTTGCAAGTCACTTAATGTTACCATTTAACCAATAGAAACAGGGTTGTGTAATAAGAGTGAATGTCGAGCTTCAACTCCTGTTCTTGGGTATTTTGCATGAACGCGTCACAACTTTTAGATGTGAATCGCATGAAATCAGTCATTTCCAGAGAAGTCTATGCAGCGTAAAACGAGTTAATTGAATTTTTAAGGTCATCCAACGAGATACTGTGACATGTTCATAAAAAAGTGACAATAACTGGCCATTTGATTAAAATTGCGATCAAACAATTCCTAAAATTTAAATTAGGTATCGACTAATGTTAACACGAATTTGATCTATCATATTTACCAACTCAAAACACATGAATATCAATTTGAAATTGAGTCTATATTTAGTATTTCATCAAAATCCTCATATCATTAAGCTGTTTACGTGGTTGCATGCTCTACTCAACTCCAGGCATTATGCTTGACAGAGACTAATGTATTGTGATCTAAAGGTTAATTTGCAAAAATTTTTACTTTTTAGATAAAGTTCCAAAAATACAGCAGTAGCGAATCTTTTGGAACCTTCAAAAATAATAAATTATATAAAATTAAATCTGAATACTCTTTACAAAATTACCTACGCCTGTTTCCGATAGTCACCAAATGTGAAAGATTATTGTGCCAAATGTTTTATTATAAGCTAACCTTTAATGCGCTTTTAACCTGATAACATGCAGTATCGATTTTATTACAGTGAATCGAATTTTAAAAAGAAAGCATTCACGGCATGTGATTATCTAAAGAAAACTCTTGGACGCTATTAAGATTAGGCAATCGCTACTGCTATACTTGCTGGATTTTTAAGACGTTTCACCTGGCTCTCTTACCTAATAACTTCGTTTGGTATAACTCGTCACTAAATTGTGGCAATTTAATTAAAAAATCTCCCGACATCTAAGTCTTTAACTAAACAATTTCGAAGGAAATAGTAATTCAAACATTTAGCACGTTATTTATTTTATCAACTCTTGATGTGAATTACAAGATTTTAATTTAATCAAGAACAATGATGCTACATAAGTTGTTCAACCATTTGGAAGATTTAAGCCTATTTTGAATACTTAGTAGGGTTATACAGTGAATTTCCTTTGCTGATCAACCTCCATTTTTGAATTTTTTTAGTTGTTGGCTGTAGCATTCCACAGCCACCATCTGACCAGTTTCCAGGAGCTTGTAATAAAGTTCACTCTTCATGTCCCACAGGATACAAGTGGGCATTCTGTTTCGGAGTCGAGACCTACCCACAACTTTTTACATTTGGGTTTCTCGTAACAAGACATCAACTTTTCATCAGCATCAAAATGTTCCCAAAAAATTGTTGTGAATCGTGTTTAATAATCCCCTTATTCCGATCGCTCTACCTCCGACACAGAGTTCCCCCTCTTCGCAACCTGGCGCCAGCCGCGCGAAGCTTCAACTTCTCCTTCATTCACACGAATATTTATCTTGGATTATCCTCACGCCTATGTCTCGATGTTAGCGCAGTTATGACTCACACATCCGAGCTATAAATACACACGCTCAAACCCCACAGACCACCACGGCTTCATCAAGTCGTCGAATAAACGGTTGACTCTCTGTCCTTCCGCCGACTTCATTTTTGTTCGGTAATTGGTGATATATTGCGTCTCAACAAAAGAATTTTGTAGAAAGTGAAAGGCATGTGTTCACAGGGTGACATGGACTGTGTTCGGTCAACACATATGGAGGTTGCCAGCTCTTAAAATTTTGAATTCCTCTTGTTTGGAAGAAACGCTGTTTAAGTAACTCCAGACTGAACTGCAAGCTCTAGTTACGTTTGCTTTTGAGTTTTAGCCCAGTAGAGTTTGCAATTCCGCATTTTCAAAAATTCGAGGCTGTTTTAGGCGCAGCTGGTCACTAAGATTGAAATCCACACTTCTAAAACGTTTGCGCCAATAAAATAGGTCCTATCAGACAAAATCAACCTCAAAACACTTTATATTGATTTCGTGGTTTGGAAGCATTTTCAATGTTTGAACCTTATTAAACTACGATGCTGAATGTTCACTTGATTAGTTGTCATTGAAGACTGCTGTTCTGCGAAGTTACGTAGCTCTGGTAAACTTGTCGTCCATTTTTCTGAAAATATTTTGATTCTAAAGATAATTTTAAGCTGGAACGATATCCGTAACAAGTAAATCGTTCACCAAATATAAAAAAAATAAGACATAAAAATATTTCCTCTTGATTGTCTTAATATCACAAACGTATACATGTTTTCATGGAGGAAACGTGGAAGAAAAGGGGACACCTATAGGGGCTGCACACTTATGCGATATCTACTCATTTTGTTAGGTTCACATGGGAGCAGATTCCTAACTGCAATATGGATGTGAATGATTACATTTTGAAACAAAATTGTGCAGGCTTTAACCACTGAATTTCATTGTCGACAACAATTTTATAAAGTAAAATAGCTAGCTAAACTTTATATCATTCTTTAGTTTGTTGTTTTGACAACTTAATTATCCTATGACCTTGGACATTGCTCCATTTATCTTAATGTGGCTGATTTGAGTTTATGTTGCTCTCAATTGCGAACGGAGAAGTACAGGCCTGACTCACTTTATTTAATTTACATATTTTATAATATGCTATTATCGAGATTTTTTTAGATACCTATTACAATAGTCTAAGTTTTACCCACACTATAATTTTAGATCGATTTTTCTAACCTACTGTTAATACGTGTTAAATTTTCGCGTCAAAAGTTAATACAACAAGGTTCTTGCCTTGCTAATTTAGTCTAAGTTGCCTTCCTTTTCTGTTATGTAGCTGTTTTTAATAGTTTCTAATGGTCTGCAATACTTTAATTTTATCTCTGATTTCAAGTTCAATTTATATTAGACGGCATCCACTACTAGAGTATCAGCTGTTTGAACATAATTGTGTTTATACCTTTAACTACCATCTTTTTTTTCAAATTTGCGTTTACATGTTCTTGTATCCGTATGTTTATTTGTTTATTCATATTTTCGTCATGAAGTGTGGTGAGATCGTTTACCTCTAATGTAATTTCAACATTAATGAAAGACCGGAAGTTAGGCCACTATACTGCGATGCTCTTAAGGCGTTGTGTTATTTTTGACTTAACTTTTAGTGATCTGTGAATATTGGGAAATCGCCTAAATCCCGTGGACTCCATGGCGTCAACACCCATGTGAGTATTCAATGGCGTATTGTCTTTAACACTGTACAAATTAGTGGAACTTTTTTTTTCTGCCTTAAAACCTTGTCATGCTTTATATTAAGAAGTTCCGTGATACCTAATATACTACACATAAATTTATTGTCGAGGTGTGTCTACCGTGATCATTTCCTTGATTTCCATTAGTTTCCCAAGACAATACGCATTGCAACAACTTTATGTTTACATTGCGTTTCATTGGCTGTTTTTTTTGCTTCTGGTTTCCTGTGATATGGAATGCTGTAAATATTGAAGACGACGTCGCTTACGGAACATTACGTTTTCATGTAAACATAAAAAAATGTGGCTGGTGTCGTGTTAGTCAAATTTCATCCGTGTGTTTTTCTATTAATTTTTTCGGATAAGTCTAAACGTCAATAAATCCTTTGAACTTTCTTCCTAGATTTCTTCCTTCGCTTGAAAATTTCGAACTCTCTTTAAACAAAGTACTTTATTTTCTCAGATGACTTCAACTTCTCTCTTCAAATAAAGACTCAAGTATTCTAATGTTATTTTTTTTCATTTTTGGGCCCAGAACAAAGTGGTTACACACTGATTTATGACCAAATAATCACAACTACGTGTTGCGGTCATCTGTGTTTTGCTTTTGCAACCATCGAATGTAGCACAGTCAACGTTAAGGTTATTATATTCGTGCAAAAATAGAATTTTCTTCCACCGCTAATACACAGTGTAGCTCAACAACAATAAAAAGTCTCTTGGTTTGTTCACTGTTTTGCTACATGCTTATTTTTTCATTTAACTTAATTTTCTTTTTCTCATCACGTTTTAAATCGGTTATTTGTGTTGCCCACCTAACAACGATACAAAATCAGAGTCAGGAACCTAGCAAAAGGATTGGATCATTTTTCCATTTGAATATGGTGTTTGTTTGAAATTAAAGTACAGATAAATTAATGAGGGAAATCAAGGACACTGCTATGGATTTTTATTTAAAAAGATATGATGATTTTTTACTCGTTCATCCGCACGATCCTTTTCAGTAGCCTAAATCCAAGTAAGCTTTTTTGGTTCAAAGCGCGAAAACTAGTGTGTTTTTGCATCATAACAAATCCCGTTGATGAATGGAGTGGGAGGCCCTGGACGGGGCCTTGTTACTTGCAAAACAACGGCGTGCAGATATGAGTCTTCCGTCTCCAGGTGCCCCTTTGTTTTCACTGGTCCGCGGTTACATGTTTTGCCCCCTCGGGGTATAGATGGATTCGTGAACACTGAGTTGTTTTTCTCTGGTATGTATGCCTTCAAATAATGGCTAAAATGTGAAGGTCAATTGAAAACTTGCATGACTGAAACCATACCGGTGTTCCGGTGGAGGTATACGGTCACGCAAGTATAATATTTACCGCAACCGCTTTTCGTCAATTTTACGTTCATTTTAGCGTTGACAAGGAAGGTATTTAGGTACTTAAAGCTCTGGTACAATAAATTAATTCTAAAAGAAGTTTTCTGGAATTGGTAATCTATCAAGTGACTTGCTACCTGGGAAGTCTAGATTTATAAAAACCTGGGAACTTAGCGGTTAAATTTTCTCCCACTCCACTTGTAAGGGTAAATTTGAAGAATCCAAATATGTTTCCTTTTTCCTGGTTTTATTTTTAGTTATTTTCTTCTGATTAATATTTCCCAGAGTAGATTCCTCGATATTGACAATAATATTAGTGTAAAAATGATAAAACTTGTAACGCCTTTTGTTATGCATTCAAACGCCATCTTCGATGAGGTGAATTGTTTTTGTCTCCTATCTTGCTGCAACTTGAAATCACAAGCGCACAAGTGGACAAATGGTAAATATAAATGTGCACGAAAAGCAATTTTAGCCACCGATTTCCTACCAGTTTTTTGTAGTCCAGTTAATAATAAACTATCTCAATTGGGTTTTTAACCGACTGTGGAAGCCGGGAAGCAGTATTATCCTAGGTTGATTGTGATTAACTTTAAATGAATGCAATTTTTAAGGCGGATGTAGCATTAAACTTTCTCTAGTGCCGGTTGCTATGTTGGCAACAGACGCGGATTAAGCAACAGCCTTTAGTCGGTAGCTCTTGTTGTGTGTGTGTGTGTACGGTTTAGCTTCAATAAATAGAGTTCTGCTCGAGACATCCTGTCTCGTTGGCGTTAAGATTCCTTTGAAAAAAATATTTGTTGAGAAGCGGGGTTCTTGTTCAAAAAAAATTGTTCTACCACAATCAGTAATGCTACACAACTGTGGAATAATCAGACGGATTTATTTTTGATGCAAAAAGAACAAAATATTGTCGATATTTTCCGCTTTTGCTAATATTTTTCTGTTTTAAGTAAATGCGAACTTAAAACGTCGCTGAATCACAGTGTGTCAACTTTAAAAAAACTCATCTTAAATAAATAACAGAACCTTCTTTCGGTTTCTAGACAAATTTCTTTGGTGAAACTCTCTTGAGTGCTAATATTAGCGATCTGTGGTTCTAGCATATCAACTTTCCAGAATGCTGATGGCACCACTGAAGTACACATTTTACTAGGTACTAATAGTAGGTGATCTCCAAAGCCCGGACTGCCTGTTCTCCTTATCGCTGTTTCACAATTGATTGAATATGGAACGCATCACCAAAATCTGCACCGGCCTTGAAGATGCATTTTACAATCGAGGCTTGGTTACTGGCTTTTAGTGCACAATGACAAGCAGACAAAATCGGGTCCGTGACCTTACCGCATGTTGGCATACGTTTGCTCCTCTTTTCCCAATACCATTGTTTGTTCTCCCATTAACTTCTGCTCATGTTTTGGCGTTTCGGCTCTTCTTCAAATCTACTTTTAGGAATTCAATAATCGAGAATTTAATGAAATCTGGCTTATCGTTTTTTATGACAAAAGAGATCTTTTAAAGTCTGTTTATTCAAACCATTAGGTAAACATGTTATGTGGTTTATTAATTGCCAGGTTGATGGTACTTATTCTCCTTAAGTAATCTATCACAGCTCACGGACCGTTACCTGTTTGTGTCATTCTGCTCCCCATTTGGAGATGTTGATGATGATAATCAACGTTATCCTTGCTAATATGCAAAGTAAGCTGGCCCAGTTTGTGTTCCCACACTTTTTCTACGATTTAACATCTCTTTACATGTTTTCACTTGATTCGTAGTGAAGGTATTTTCACCAAATAATATGCTTAATTCCAAATACGTACATTTCATTCAGAGGTGTTTAGTGTTGGAGCTGCCTTATTGTAATTTTGAATAAACAACAGTTGAAATTGCTAGATTTTAACGGTTTCTTTTCCCTAGTTTTCTTAACCACTATTATTCACTGTTGTTCTTGTTCACTTCACATTTCACAAACAACAGACAATTCTCCGCAGTATGCTGTATGGCTCGCATGCTCTCGCCGTTTATTTACTAACAATGGGGAAAATTATCGCAGGGCGTAAGCCTGGGCGGTGCCTCAAAGGGCTTCTAATGCCCTAGTTATAAAGTTGTTTAACAATTTTAGGCTTTATTTTCAATTATCCCTCAATTTATTCTAAGAAGCACTTGTGGATCTGTACTTTTTTTTTATCAACGCTGTGTACATTAGGTTTGACTTCCGTTCGTATCACGAGGCTGGCGTTCCACCAAGCTACTCTTACTGTTATTCGTTTTTTTCGTTTTCGTTGCGCTTTGATCTGAAGCACCGGTTTTTTTTTTAAATAATTTTAAGTGCATAGTAAAAACACAGCAAGGTTTCAAGCATCGCATTGGCAGCCCATAGCGCAACGTGGTTGGTTTTTATCTACTCTGAAGCGTTGTGTAAATTAGGATTTTTCGTGTTCGTGCTTTTGACTACTGCAAACTGAAATTTTAATGCATGAGTTTGACTCTGTACTGCGTCCAATCGCAGTCACGTTGATACCAATAAAGGCCGCTATTTTGTATATTGAATGGAACACCGTCATGTAAAACAGCATTAATGGTTGTCAAATGAAAACCCGTTAGTCCAAGATTTTAAAATAAAATTAGACCAAGACTATTCTTTTCTACAGCTTGGTCCCTTTGGTATGTCTTCGTGATCGCTGGCGTTGTAACATGAAGGCCACCATAACACAATCGCTCATTAATTGTTGAGTGATTTGTCTATCAATTAAGTGGCTGTGAGTATATTATTGACCAGGTAGAAAATTCCTTTTAATTTTTTCGATTTTAACAAAATTTAAGAATTTGTTAACAATTTTAACAACAATTTAATTTAAGTTGTTTGCAACTTCATAAGGGACCTTGGCTTGCCAAAATCTTGCAAAACTCACAAACAATTAATGTGGTCAGTGTCTATGTCAATAAATTAAACCAGAATCCACCGCACCTTATTATGGTAATGCTACTATTTCTGTTGACAACGAATTAAGTAACACACACGTTAAGTGCTGTTTTAAAGTCATCGATATGGCTGTGTTAGCACGTGACCATGCGCAGTACTTTAAGGCAATGGACAATTCAAGGACTACAAAATGGTTTCCTTGGCCGTTTTAACCCTCATCGCACTGCGGGTAAAATTCATCGCAATTGACGCATTCATCGGTTTGCGGGGAAAACAGAACTTGCGCAGTCCCTGGTGTGATTGTGTAGCATGTGATCACTTCATCTATAACTTTTCTACTTCAAAAATGGAACTGCATCGTGGACTAATTACTAAATATTTGGTAGGATCTGTTAAAATGAGATGCCTTTTTTTCACTCTGGGTTAGTTCAGAAAGATGCCCGATCATTTGCACATTACGCAGTAGTTTAGGATCAAACACTTTGAGGTACTTTTGCACGCCGATGACGGCTGTAAGTATCGTTTTATTTGCAGAACTTGATTGTCTCATGTTCTCAAACTCAAAGCTATCGATGCAAGGCGTGTTTAATTAATTCGTGAGGCCACTGGCTCCGTGGAAATCAATGAATCTATTCAGTAAAATCCCTCAATTATCCCATTCGTAGAACCATATTTAATTATGTTGCTTGCAATAAAAATTTATCTTTTACCTTTCTTATTTTATGGTGTTTGCTCTTCTGTAGCTGCCACAAGTCAGGAATTGCAATTCTTGCGTTACGCCGAATCGTCACATTAACTTTCTGAGATGGACGAAATATTACGTACATTGGTCTACACATGGGTCACATTCATTGCCAAAATGCCACTGTCATCATGGCTGAGTTCTCTTTTATGTCTCAGAAAAACTGCTGCTTTTGTCTCCGTTAAAATTTAACACATACCAGCTGTCATTCAGCCATACTCATGGTTACCACGGCCGTTGCGGCGTGAGGGTGTCATATTTTTGGCTATAAAATGACCAAAAAACTGAGCCAATAGATCAGTTTCATTAATCCAGTTGTGGTCATTCGTCAGGAGTAAGTGTCGTGAGTGAAATCTGGCTAGTATTTGGCAATTTTAGATCGGGAAAAATTTCGATAAACCACCACCCAGTGTGCGACATATTGCTGCTTTTGTGGATGCGTTGGCGCAAACGACTAGAATATGCAATTGCGTGGTAAGATTCGCCGTAACTACACAACAAGAAGCAACCAAAAGATAACAAGACCTAATTTCCTAATCCTCCATCAAACTACAATGTGTGTAAATATTGAGTACAGGTGTTGTTGGGAAGTCAGGCGCACTGGGGGGGACCTATCGTCTATACTAATTGAGCTTTTTCGTTCAATTTTTTACCTCTGCAATACTTGTCCAGCCTCTTGGCTAATGCTTTAAGCATGATGTGGTGAAAGTGAGCATGGCACCACAAAGCTGCCTTGCGGACTCACTTTATGGTACTTGAGCCTAGAGGTCTACGAAAAGAACAGCAAATTTTCTTTGTTCAGAAATGCCTTCAAATTTGTCGAGTGCCTGAGCCGGATGTCATTGTGCGGCAGCAGTTTCCTTCGCCCAACTATGTCCGATGACATATTTGTAATTACCCTCTCGAATCCATAATGACCATACTGCTTCTCCGTCCCTGCTGCAGCATATGCGTGATGTGGACTTTTGTGTTCATTTACAATCCAGATAAGGCGCCCAGTTGAGACCTTTGCTTTGTGACTTCGTGAATACCTGTCGTGGTTGTCTAACTTACGTTTTCAGTTAATGAAAATAGTGACTGCGAAAACATGAAAATGATACTTTTTAGTAGCAGTCCCTGTTATGGGATCTCTACTTAGGTCGCACAAACTTACCACGTGGTGAATAAAACGCTGATGGTAGGGAAAAGCAATCAACGTGGCTTCCATCCACTGTTAAAATTTACCTGCTTCTCGACGTCCTATGTCACGAGTCGGCCAAATTTTAACACAGGTTTCGGTGTGATGGTTATAACACTTCAGTTAGAATAGCTACGTTTTAAAGGGACCAGTGTACCCTCGTATTTTAATGAGAATGGTCACTTTGTGTTTGGCTGTTTGCCTACTGGCAATTGTTTGCCCTAAGAGATTTTCTCGGCAGCATCAGGGCGTGCTTATGGGCGGCAAATGTTTAATTCCTTTCAGAACCGCTCAGACAGCTGCGGTTGTGAGTCCACTTCGGGACCTAACTGATGGTAGCGTCGCCAAGGCCGCTTCCAAGTCCGAGTTCGCTAGCAACGTCAGTCGTTTCTTTAAATCGCGGAAGTTAAAAGTCACCAAGAACCCTCCACCGCCCCCAATCCGCGTCAGTAAAGGTATTGTTTTGGTAGATAACCTATGTTGTTTTCTGAACTTTTGTTGAAAAGTACTTGTGGTGTTGTTTGTGTTGTGATGAATCGGGTGTGAGAATAGCGTTGTGCTGTCAATGTCCAAACTCAGTGGTTTTGGTCCTTTGGACAAAGATGGTGCGGCAGACGATCGCGTCCACAACTCCGTTCTTTGATTGTTCTATTAAACTGAACAAGTCTTTCGTTTCGCTTGGAATCACAAAGCTAGCACAATTCCATATCAGTGGAAACAGTTTTCTATTGGACATTCAATTAATAACGTTCAGTCATAGCAAAACTATGCAGCTACGTGGTAGTATTTACCTTTGGAGAAGGAAAAATTACTGTCGCAGTGAACTCTTAAAGTGAGATCTCGTTGTTTCTTCACACATCCCACAGCACAAGTGCGTTTGTCCCAAGTAAGCGTTGACGTCTAACGTGTTGCTCGTCAATGACCGCTGTCAATCCGAATACGCCATCAATTTACTTCAGTCAGTGTAAGTGGCGTCAGTGGTGCCTCCGCTTCAGGGGTACCTAAAAGGTATGGTTAAAAAATTCGGAAAAATGTTTGCAATGTTGACAGAGATAGATGAATTAGACAAAGTTAAGTACTGTGCCTGTTGGACTCGATTCCTATGTGCACAAACAGTTTTTTTCTTCTGGTGTGTGGAGTTATTTCTGCGCACTAATGGTTCAAACAATGGTTGATCGCGTGTCTAGTTGCTGTCACCTTACTTCCTCCGTGCCACTAGTGTTTCCCTGAAGCTGACTTTAGAATCACCCCTTCAGTGTGGTTACTAAAATAATTTTTGCCTTCTTAAAGTGGCTCAGTGTTTATTATTATTATTCTTTAATCAAGTCTTTCATTCGGTATCTAAGATTATTTTCCGATTTAAATGCAAGATGCTATATGTTAGTTTTCATAAAGTATCTAACTAAATTATTTGATTTCTGAAATTTGATACAGCGCATTAGCAATGGTTGCTTAAATTGAACTACAGAAAACATATCACCGATTTCTCGCAGGGTTTGTAGAGCAATCTTTTAAGTCTCACAAATGAGATAACTTTACTTACGTTGAAGATTTCATAGAGGTAGTAGCTATAAGAGATTAATTTGCTGGATCAGCAATCACTCTCGTTTGGTTTTTCTCACGCGTTCGATCCACAAAATCGTAATAAGAACTGTTGTTTGCGTTGCGTAAAGTATGACGAATTGCCTTATAAATATTTTTAAAGGCATGCTAGTTTCCACAACTTTGCTTCCCATTTTTGGGGCAACAGCAGATGAGTTATGGTTTTTTGTGTACTTTTCCTAGTTTCTCATTTTCACCGTAACATCTTTAGCATAACTTTATTCTAAGGAGCTACGTACGGCCGTCACAAAGGACCCTTAGACAAACTGAGTTAATTTTGGTCAAACCATGTACAAAGAGGGCAGAATCTGATACGAGATCCGGAATGAAAATGGTATTTTATAAGACGTTTTCGAAGAAACGTCATGTAATAGATTTGTAGTACTTTCGGTGTCATGCTCCGTGGTAGTAACAGCAATCAGATTTGTGCTAGAACAAAAACACCGAATTTCCGTTTTGCGGCAGCTAACACGGTTGTCTGGACCCCTTGCACCAGTGTGTGCATTCGCTTAAATCATGCAGCTTTCGGATCTCGCACCGTGGTTCGCCACCAATATCGGAATGCCATCCACCACATTAACCAAGAGCCTGCCATTCACATATCATCACGAACCATTACCGGCATCCAATTTCCTAAAACCTTTTTGCCTTAGCCCTTAACTAACAACTCCGGTTTCAGTCCTATTGCCTAGATTTTTCATGTTTATTTTAGCCGGTGCATATATTTTGAATGCCTAACTGAACAAATGACAATTTGTCTTAATCCTCTATTTCGTAGAATCGACACAATGACCACCAACTGATCTGTATTGTATCCTGCTGACTCCTAGCCTTTGTTGTCTTCTTTATTAAACGCAGTGGGTATTAGTAAAAAAGGCTTTTATATTAGTCCTTCTACACATAAAAGGTCCGGCTTTTTCCTTTATCTAAATCTTTAATTCTTACCATTGATTTCTGCACTAACTTCTCCTTATTCTGCGAATCAACATGTTTGGAACCATAGCTAAATGTCACCCAAGGAAAGCACCTTTTTAATTGGTTATTTTCAGTGAATGCTGGCGATTCGGTCGTTCAAATTTATTCAGATACCTTAAACGTTGCTTATGTAGTTTATTGTCAATTTGGTGCTTTACGTTAATTGGGAGTCGACAGTGTACTAATCCCAATTTTCCTCAACTTGCTAAGGGATGTCACGTCTTTATTTCTGTCTTAGGAGTCGATTTAGTGGAAACAAACCCCAGGACTACCCTACATCATTTTGAGTGGGGTCCTGTTTGCCCGCAGCGATTCAGCAACACTTTGCTCCCGCTAATGCATAGTTCTGATGTTATGCTTAGCTCATCAAACATCCCCGTTTTCTTGCCAGTGCGTTTTTTCCATATTCAAGTTCGCACTTTGCTGTAATGTTGAGCGAATGCTGCCCAGGCGCTTCTGCATTAATCAAATTGTTTTGCTAAGCGAAAATTGACGTGCGTACTATTTCAAATCACAGATAGTGGGCCTCTAATGAGGCGGTTATTGCCGTCAAAGGTATTCCCATTTAGAATGTGATTCCATTTCGGACCCCATCGAATTCGGAAACCATTCCTTGAATGGCGGGACGGGCTAGTCTCACCTCGATTGTCTGCGAGCGTCTGTGTGTGCTTGGCTGGCTCTCATAAAGTAGATCTTTTTCATGCATCAGTTAGGCACCAAGACAAATGGTCTGCCTACATTTATGCCTGACTTCGTGTGAATAGCCTGTACCATGTTACTTGCGTTTAGAGATGTTATTTCATCAGCTGACCAGGTTTACTGTACATGTTATTCAAAAAATCCAAACTTCCGGTATAATCACTTGTGTGCTTATAAAGACCGGGGTATTCTGTATGTGTTGGCTAAATTGCATCTAATTTTAGGTCGAGATCAACAAAGAATCATTCTCGCAAATTTTAAGAAAGCGGTCGTGTTTTACTCGAACTTGAAGGCTCCCCTCGTTCAAGGCTCTTGTGTTTTAGAAAGTCTGGAAAGTAGTCTGGAAACTAGTTCAAGGCTAAAATATTTGAAGAATAGAGCTTTATTTAGTCGAAGAAGTGCTGTTTTATCTAAGTACTTTTTGCCTTTTCTCAGGCAACTGGTAAGTTACTATTTTGCCTTATTTCTCCTTTTATGTGGTTCTTCGTGTTGCCAGATTAATTTCATTGCAAATCCCTTAAATAATCTATAAAGGACCGCCGAATATGACAAACTAAAAGCCTTCTAATTACCAGTCTCTAATAGGCTGCCAGTGAAACATGGAAGTGTGCATTGACTGTTTAACATGGAAAACCACTTTGCCCAATCTGCGTTCTGCTTTTGTGTCAAGGTCTTGATGCAATTTCCCGGATGGCCCCAAGAATATTTCTGGAGCTTATCAACGCAGGTGCTTTGGGTCTACTCAATGAGTATTTGCTAACAAAGACTATGCAAAAGCCCTACTTCCCATCGCCAGCTGTAGCTCGTCACCATAAAGTCCCTTTTCGTTGCCTTATACTTCAGACCTGCGAGTTGAAATGCGAGTGAGGAGGCTAGCCCAAAACAGCGCATGTGTAGTTTGTACCAAGTCATCGTTGCACTTCTTTCCCAGATGTCGTAGATGGTGATTTTTGTAACGCGTGGTTCTCCGGCAACGTGTTGTTTCGCTGTGCGCTGAGAAGCGTCTAGTGGCAGTTTGTTTTTTCCGCATCTACACGCCCACAGGGCAGGTTCGCTCCGATCGTGCGCAGACTGCGAAAAATGCCACCTTGTGGAGATAAGCTAAGCCTCTTTCTGGTCATAAAATCAGAACTGATAGGCTGTCTGTATACTTTAATAGCTGTACTTGTGTTTATGTTTATTGTCAAGTGCAACAGCTTTGAACTGTAGGAAAGTAACCTCCGACTTCCGTTCCTTGTGATGCCCATGTAAAGGTGTATGTACCAAACATATACCAATTTGGGTGGGGTTTGTATAATAGTTCCTACTACTGAAAAAGTAGAATTCACAATCGCCCGAAGATATTGGCTCGATCATTAAGGCAGCGATCGGTGCTTCACTTCAGATTGACATCATGTCGAGTTTGGTGTGAGTGACCACCAGTTTATGCTTCGCTTGGGGATGCACAAATCATGGCGTGAAAGCTTGCAGCTGTCCAAAAGCCCTCACAGGGGCTTACTTTAGTGTGGTGTTCACTAACTCCAGCCTCCTGATAGGTTGCAGTAAGAAATTTAATTAATAAATAGGAGTACTGTGACGGTAAAAACAGTGATGCACTCTGAGATTAAAGGCGCCACTAAAAATCCCCTCAGATTTTGTTAGTGCTCGGCCTGCAATTAAGTGCCTTCCCGTTTTTCTTATATTTGTTCGATTCGCTAACCTGTTCGATATTTCGTTGATTTTGTTTTTACTTTCATGTTTATTTGCAAAAAATTGTCATTTAAAAACACCAGCCACTTAAGGCTGTGTCTGTCTCCGGTTTTTTGCAGAATGATATTCTATACCTTAGGTCACAAATCAATTGAAGCTGTTCCTCACCCTTCACTCTATGCGGTTTCCCGTTTAGAGACTAATCACTTGTTTTTACCCTTTAATATCACTGCAGCGTGATGCGACCAGGATATGCTATGTCAATCGCCAAGTAATATCTATTGGGAGCTCCGGCCAGGCTGCTAACTTGTAGTTACTGAATGCGCCTCTATTTTACAAGAAACGTTTGTTTGCGTCCAATCGTATTCAACACCAATGCATGGAACTAAATCCTCGAACTGTCTTTTGTTTAGTGTCTTTTGGAAGCAGAGCGTTCTCTCTCTCTCTGGCTGTACCTAAGAATCGCATTTTATTAACACCAATACGTCAATTTTTAGTCTTCCTCTTGTCCTTCAGAGATTGTCACAGTGATTTTGTGCCCGTGTTAATTTTAGTCACGACTGAGGACTCAGCTGCTTCTGAGGTTACTGGTCAGAAATCAGTCTCATCCACGGGAAACGGGCCCTTCTATGATGACGCCTGGGACATTCGACTGTCGCGTCTGGGCCTTCAGGCCTCTCAGGCCCAGTCAATCCCGCCGCCGCCAGCGCTACCCTCACTTAAGCAGCGACAAAACAGCGGTGGGCGTGGCCCTCCCGACGGCGCGGCAATGTGCGAAAGCAGCTGCTCCCTTACGTCGACCCCATCGGTGGCCTTGAGTCCCGGTTTCGTCGACGCACCAGCGCCCAGAACGACAATCTCGACGTTTGCTCCGTCCGTGGGCCAATCCAGTAGCCCGCCGGCAAGTTTCCCGCCACTTTGTACGACATCTTAGAAAGCTGACTCGTGTTATGAATTATGCTGTTTTTGGCGCAATTTGACTGACTCGTTCCTCTGAAATGCGTATGTGATGGGTGACAATTGCGCTATCATTGTTCACCTCAGTCACAACTTTACTGTCTTTTTTTGTTTTAATATGGGTTGAATTCATATCATGCATCCCTGATATTTAATAATTTTGAGAATGGGCACTTTGCATTTTTATGGACTCTTCTCCACGAGTTGGCGTCAGTTTTACCTGTGCTTTACTGACGTTACCATCTTATGTAGTGTCTTCATTAGTGTCTTCCAAGCAAGTTTCGGTAAATTACTTTACTTCAATGCCTAGAAATTATGTAAGGGTTAAAATATTGTATCTTCATTTCAAAGGTGCATGAATTAATGATGGAAGCTAGTGATTAACATCTCAAATCGGCTAGTAGCTTAGTTTAACCCTTAATTCAAAACACTTGCAGCACACGGATTCAAAAGTGGCACCTACTGCCAGTGAGGAGGCTGTACCGCCGTCCACTGAAAGCGACCCGCCCGAAGGTGTCGCCACCCCGACGCCCTCGAGCAATCTCAACTGGTTCCCGCCTCCACCTCCGACACCTCTCCACCTCTCACTGCATGTCGACGACCCAGCGAGCAGTCAACCGAGGCGCTACCACGAACATCGTCGCTCCTTCGAAATGGATGACGAACAGTTATTGACAGGAAATGATTCCGGAGACGCTATCACGTTACCTCCGCTTTCTCCATCTCCACCACAGGAAAATACTTGTCCCAGTGGTGATGGACGCGCTTCTGTGTCAAGTTTCCTTCTTAATCTGCCTCCACCACCCACCGTAACTGATTTATCTGCGGAGGAGTCTGCCCATCCCCCTGTTATTCCACCCAGGGACCCAAAGACCTCAGTTACGACGCCCACTGAGGTAAATCTTCTCGAAAGAATCACGATGATGGATTTTTGTTGATGGATACATGCATGCCCACATCGTGTGCCTGAGGGCCGTGGTTAATAGTTGGGCAATTTGTAATATTCGAGGCTTTTCATTTTATTTGCGTAACTAATGTTATGTGATCATGATCAGCCTCATGCCACCCTCTCTTTTGAAGCAGTAAACTCGTAGAGATTGCTCAAGGCTCTATAATCGCTTTTTTTCTTGACAGCTTTTGGCTTCAAGCAATTTCAGCAGTGCTGCCTTCAATGTATTTTTAAGCTATGCAAGCAATTAAAAGGTAGATTTCAGTTTGAATTTTCTAAAATATAGTTTTCAAAACAATTTTAGCGTTTGTGGCAATGCCGATTGGCACGTCGTTCGGGGCACTGGGGAGTGTTCCCTCGGTCAATTGTACGTTTCTTTGATCCACTGTTTTTCGTCTTCAATGTGACGTCCGTTTCTGCTGCGCAAATACAAAGAGGTATAACAATGAAAATGGACGATTGAATTGACACTCGCGAGAATCTGTACTTGACATTAAATTTCACTATAATAAGTGTAATCGTATTCAAGTTTAATTCATGATCCCGGTTTGCTGGCATTCATACTTTCTTGGCGTTAAGATGGTATTATACAATATCAAGTCTGTTTTTACTTGTAAACTAGCTATTATTATATTCGCCGTTGACACTTTGCTCTAAGTTGATACAAATAATTAATTTACAAGGTAAATCCGTATTATTTTAAAATTCAGGAACACCAAAGAAGTCGTTGATGTAATGCTTTCCATGTGCGATTAATTATAACCTCTCTGTTTAGCCCAAGAAAGACTGTGAATTATTGTAAAATGATTTGGTCGAAGGTCCAAAAAGCAATGCTTCTCAAGGAATTCCTTTTTTTCCTAAACTGGTGCTATTGGTGGAAGTTTTGCTAGCAATGAGTCATCGTGATTCAAGCCCTGTGAGATTCGCCGCACACATCCTGTTCACTACTGGCAATGGCGTGTGTCGTGCCTCCTTGCCTTTGTTTTTTTTTGGAAAAAGAGAATTATGCAATGCCGTATTCAGCCTAACCCTGGCATAATGCCAGGTTTGAATTCCAATCTTTGAATTGTACAATCCACACGATCCAGCGCAGTTTTAATCCAATCCAAACCTCGCGTTAATATTGTGTTTCAAATCGACCGATTTCTTGTTGGCACTTTTTAAGTTGGAGTTTGCCTCTGTGACCATTTACTGAATTAATAGCCAGGATAACGAAGTGCCCTTAAAATAACACCAATCGAGAGCTAGGGTGATGTGGAAGTACCAAACTTACTTTTCCTTACCCTCTCATTAAGCACATTGGTTGACAATTGTCAGTCAGACTAAATTATTGTCCTTACACCTCTTATTTCTGTTAATCGTTTTGCGTCACCTTTTTATCGTCGATGATACTTCATTATCGTTATATCCTACGTGACTTCATATTTTTCCACTGCATAGAATTCTGTTTAGACTACACGAAAGTACACTGAATGTATCCGTGCGGCGATTCGATCACCCAAAAACGCCTTTGACATTTCAGTTACACATGGTTGAGGAATTTCGATAAAAGTTGTAAATGTTGATAACCTGCAATTTTATATTCCTATTTACGTCTATGTAATAAACCCAGGTCTGTTTATGTTAGTATGACCTTTAGGTAATTATAGATGGTTCTAACTAATGTTCGAACAATAAAAAGGTAGGCACAGTAGCACCATTAATCTCGTTTTGCGTGAATTCGGTCGCGCAGGGTACTGCCGTGTTATAAATTTGTCTCAATTGGAAGCATTTGACTGGTGCTATTTCAGTCTTATTTGGCACATGATTTTGTCGGTGAATTCGATTTTCGTTTTTTTTTCAATCTACCTCTAGTCTTCATATTACTACGGTTGCTCTTGAAACCACCGTTCAATTGATTAAAACGACTCCAATGGTTCTGTAGTAGACTGTTAAGTTTCGTTTAATTCAGAGGCAACATGTCAGCTCATAAGGCTGTGTAAGTGAGCACCGTTGAAAAACGTTATAGCGCGGCAGTACACACGCCACTGCGATCCGCCCGGCCACGCAGATGTCCGCTCCGAGACTATCAACGTTTCTGGCCCACTTTATGGACGTCACCCGTTCGGTCCTTTGGCGCATTTTTTTTCTGTCTGTAAAACCTGGTGACGTAATTCGCGCATCAATGCAGCGAGTAGTTTACGGTTCTACTGCCACTCAGTTTGTTACATTCTAACCGAGTTGTGTGGCAGCCGGTTTACCTTATTCCCACACAAGCATATCGGATTCTATCAGCTGTGCGCAAATGAGGATAGAGGCTAATGTTTTAACACGTGAATTTGATGGATTTCTCCAGCTAACGTTGCTGCTGCCAGGCCAATAGTTCTTCAGCACCACTGAGCTGATGAAACGCATTTGCATTCACATCTTTTGCCCTAGAAAGGCTATTTTATGTATTTGTCTTCCAAGTCGTCATCATATTTGCCAGTTACCCAAAATGGGGATATTCTGGACATTTGTTGGTTGAGCATCTAACTGGGATGTAGGTTGAATTGATTTTAGGCGAACTAATTTATTAAGCAACCACTCCAATCTCCGCTCCATCAAATGTGACTCAAACTTTAGGGTTTGTGTGTCTATGCCAAAGTTTTGCTGCTATTCTCTGCCAAATAAGCCCAGTACACTTCTCTTTTGCATTAATTTACAACTCGTCGGCTTCTGAAAGAGGTGAGAGAAGGAAGATGCTTTTTACCGCATCATCATTCTTTTGCTTCCTGGATTGCTCATTGCCTCTAAGAAGAGAATTTCTTTCGTTCCAAAAATTCTGTCCAGAGTGGCAAAGTCAACTTTTCGCTATTAGAGCATTGTGTCTGATTTATTCAATTCGATTAATGCGAAAAGCTTTCCTGATAAAGGAGGCACTAGAGCTCCCCATACTACATATAGCTATGAAATTTCAGCATGAAATTTGAACCAAAGTATTGTCATTTTGTGGTTGTTTTCAGTGAAATAAGCTATTCAGTATTACTGTTGTTTCACAAACGTGAAGTATTTTCTAGTGCTCGAGAACGTGCTTTTCGATCCTAGTTTCAAACCGTTATTAATGGACAGTTAGGTTGTCCTAAGCATTATCTCACCAATTTCTAGCAAGCAATCGAGAAACAACTCATCAATTATAAACAAAATTAGCATTCATTTTAATCTAGCCACCTGTGACCGACCTTGACAGCCACCTGCCAACATCTCAACCGGCTCCTCTCTCAAAGCAGAGAGAGAGTTCAGAACTGTTGAAATCCCAACAGCGCCAGCAGAGATGTGGCGTTGATGGTCGGTCGGTGGTTCCCTGGGAGCGTGGCGCACCGCCCACGTCCACAGCTATTGACCTTTCTGGCAGCCTGCCTCAGTGGGTGCCTCCACAGCACTCCGAGGCCTCTCTGTTGCACCGTGCTCCTCGATCGATTGGCCATCGGTCGACAAAGTCACAGAGTGGATCCGATGGGATCGGGGATGACCGTGTTCCGCGTCCCCTTAGTCTTGCTGCCAGCGGCCGTTCGCAGTCCCAACATCGCGGCCGACGGCACACAACACACGCCTTTGGTGATGAGACTGTCGTTGCGGGCAGCACACCTACCAATGGCAGCTCTGATAGACGCGCTGTTCGCATGGACTCCGATTCCTCGGTAATGGCAGCCGCGCGAACAATGATGTCTGCCGGCGATGTGTGGACCACGGCTGTTTCTCGCGATGGTAGGTTGCGTGCGCCATGCTCACTTCAGTGGAAAGGTAGAAACTAAGCTTTTTTTGCCAACCTTTCCAATCAACTAATCCTTGGTCGGTATTCAATCTATTCAGCGGTGATTTTGATCAACATTTGCATTCAATTTGATTGATCGCTTATTTTATCATCTTCGGTAACTGAATTTACCCTTTGTATGCAAAATATTTATCGGGCTTTTATCTTAATGCTGTAGTCTTCCTATTTTCCACTTCGAATTTACTATTGTTGGGTCATTGCTGGGAGTCAGTTTAACTTGTATTCAATGACCTTGTTGGGTAATTCAAGACTTTACTACACGTCCAAAAGGTGATCGTATTACTTTTACGCCCTAAATTTTTTTCAAACACGTCATTTCTGAATGCTTCACACCTTCTGCAATAAATAACTTTTCATTGCAGTCTCCAGTGCCTGGATTGATGCATGGTAGGCGCTTCCGCTTGATTGGTGTTCTGTAGATTACTATCAATGTCGGGTATTTCGGTGTGAATCAAACAGGAGGTCGGGATAGGCCCAGTTTAACATACCGTATTCATCATATTTATCAGGCGGAAAATTCGACTTCAGTTTTCAATTTCTCTACTGTATCAATCCTAGAACTTTATGAGTCACCGTTAGGTAACAACTTCAGCTCAATCGAGCTTACTCACTCTTAATGTTTTTTTTTAAATTAGACGTTGTTTTATGCAACCCTTCTCAATAATGACTTGTGTTATTTCGATAACCCCTTTTCGCCTAACGATCCCACGTTAACTGCCTTCTGTAAATTCTTGTCATACCACTCTAGGACCCTTCTCGGTCCGCATTTCTGTTTACGCATGTTGCAGTCGCACGTGCACCCGTTTTTATGCAAATTGACTAGCAGCGACAGGACAGGTCGCACATAGCCAGCGTGGTGTATTCTTGCTTAACAAATCAAGTTTGACCAGGCCAAAACCCGACAGCGTCGTCCACTTGGGAAATGCCGCGTCAAGTAGGTAAAGTACTTTGGTTTCTCCCAATGAAATACACGAAGTTCACTCTAATTTCTTGTCATTACCGCCTGCTCACTTTAATGTCTTGGGGCAACTTTAGGCGGATTCACACCGAGTGCCAGATTCTGTGACCTTACTGTCATTATCCACCATTCGACACATCATGATGCTGTCATGACACTCAAGCCCAAGTCCTCACTTATCCTAAGCGCCAACGTGAATTGCGCTCCCAATCAAACATTTTTGTGGATGTTTAGAAAGTTGGTGTCCGCATAATCTGTTCCGTTGCTGTGTTGCTGAAATTCCATTTGCATGTAAATCGTTCAATTCACTAGACTTTATTTTTTGCATATTTCCATTTGCCGTTTGTTAATCCTACCTTTTGGTATCTTCAGAGCCCAATGTGCACAAATTATTTCGCGATTTGTAACATGGTTCCGATAAATGTTAATTGCGTGCGCGTGCGACACGATTTATCCAGGAGATAGCGGGATTGACGTGTGCCCAAGCTGAAAAGCATCGGCTTCGGTTGGAGACGACGGGCTGGTCCTAGCGCCTTCACACCTTGCAGCGTCGAGTGCACCGCCATTTTACTGCAAACTCGAGTTGTGTCACATTAGCCATGGCATCAAAACGCAGCCACGCACAGTCTGGTACCGTGGTAGCCAGTGCTGCTTTTGATCATCGCCGAACCCCCGTTACCTGTGCATGCGCGCACGCACCGACGGGTCGCAGCCTTCTGTTTTTAACATTTTGCGTCACGTGATGGAGCTGGTTGCCGCTGTTTTCCGAAGCGAAAAGGTCCGGAAAAAATTCTGGCTTTTGACCGTTCAATCAACTGCAAAATGCCCATGGAGTGATTCCTGCATTTTGTTATCAAATCCGTTATCATTCGGAAACCTCGTTGTACCTGTTTTATGATCAACTAGAAGATAGGCGCATGTGCATCTTTTCTCGCTGTTTTCTCCAAATTGTATTGTTACGAAATTTCGTAGGCCAATTTTTTTGCAAGAGCCACGCTGTTGCATACCTGCGTTTTTTCTATCCCCTATTTCGTACGCACATTCAACTGATGCGTATTAGAACTGGTTCACATATAACAGACACTTTCATGTTTTTTTTCCATATTTTGCTGCTCCTTTTCCAAAGTGCTAGCTGTTTAAGCACTTTATGTTGAATTTTTCGCTTCATGCCATGTAGCTGTCACTGGTTAACATTCGTGTCAAAAGCAGAGCATTGACAGTAGACATGGCTGGGGCCTGTCCGGTTACTAATCCCCTCAACAAGGTTTGTGTAGACACATCTCTCCTTAAGCATTCAAAGGACAGGTTAGTTGTTATTCTTAAATAAGGTAGATAAGCCTTTATCCATGAAATAAACCTGGCTGATGTAAGTGCCATAAAATTCGCCATGTTCTCCTCGAAAAAGCCCTTTCATTGCAGCAACTTGAGGCTCGCGTGGGCCGACATGACCTGTCTGGGCGTGCGTCTTTGCTTGGCCACCCAGCAAAATCCGCTTCCCGTGACCGGTGATGAATTACTTGAGTAAAGGCATTAAAGCAATAAATCGCCAGAAGAATACACTTCATCTGACTGCTATCATCCCTCGGGATGCACTCGTGCATACGTAATCCTGACCAGTCTAGCCTACATTCATGCCTTGAGTCCTAGAGTTACTTCGATTTCGTGCTGTATCACCTTGATTCATCTACAAAACCCTTACCTGTGTTCTAACCGACGTTTTTGTTCTTAAGATAACTTTTTTATCACGTTTGTCTCTAGCCATTACCCATCCCGTTCCATTTTATAGGGCATAAATTCAAGTAGCCCTGCTTCATTGATTATGTCAGTTGTCTATTTGCATTGCAACTATTTCGCTGATAGTGGTGATCCTTTTAGTATGTCATATTTCCTTCGGTTACCCTCTAGCTCTCCGAAAGCGGGAACTGTTTTGTGTTAATGTACTTGGTGCATTCTTACTTTGCTTCACGACCCATTTACAAAGCAGCTACTGTCCTATTTGTAAGAATCAACGTTTTGTGGACGGTTAAATGGAAATTGTCCGTAAATGAATTTGTAATGTTTCCAAGAATAATAGTACACTGGAAACAAAAGAGAGGGTATTTTGTAATTCGAGAAGAAACCGCCAGGTTTTATCTCACTTCATTTTATGCTACTCTTAAAGTCGGTATCATTGTAATCGTCCAAAATCCTTGATAAATCCGGAAAAAACAGTGCATTTCTGCCTAAAGTTCGATAAGTGCCGTACACCCAGTAGGGATAATTTGATTTATTAGTACATTTGTTGGTTTGCGTTCTTTGTGGGCACTGTTCTTTTATTCTAGTTAGTCAGGGACACGTTTTCTAACTACTCTGGGCAGGCCGTTCATGATAATATATAAGCCGGTTTTCTAGATTTCGGAGCTGACGGAACGGCCATCAGTTACATGATGTAACTAAATTGACCACTAGGCATTCAACTTCTATCACCAGTTAACGCACCACTAGGGTATTCGAGGTAGACCGCCATAAGCCAACTAACAGAATTATAGTCTTCACGTAGATTACATCAGGCAACGTGCACAATCTCAACCTTTTGACGCACCTGCAAAATACGTGGTTGGAGTTTGGCCACTCTGTCTGAAATTTAGGTTTTTGAGAAGACGTGAATGATTAACGCTGACAGCTCAAATCTGACAAGTGTCTGCGGTGTCAGTGAATGCGTGGCTTCCGCTCTAGAGGGAGATCGGTGTGATTAGGCCCAGCCGACGTCAGCCATCAACTTGTGGAAGGCGGGAAGGGCGGGGTGAGGCGGGGTAGAGTCATGCGGTATGCAAGTGCGTGCACGCGCACGCGCATCCAT